GGGGCGGGGGGGGCCCGGCCTCCCTGACGTCGCCAAGGACCAGGCCACCAGACCCTGCTCAGCTGCCCTTCACATGGGCTGGTCCCTGCCTACTCAGTAAGGAGACTCAAGGAAAATGTTTTCTCTGCACGTACCCCAGCTCCCAAATGTTCTTCAATCTCTTTTGAAACAGCGAGCGTGCGGTTAGCAGGAGCCTAGCTGAGCCCAGTATGCCCCGGCCTTGGTGCTGCGATGGGGAGAGAGGAGGCAGCCGCCTCTCTCCTGCAGCCCCGCCTCCAGTGGGAGGGCCCAGCAAAGCTTCCCAGAGCCTCCTGGGTGCTGGGCATGTGCGGGGCCTGGTCTACATGGGGAGTGGAGCAGCAGAGAGCCTGAGGAGGTGTGTCATGCTCTGCCGGGAGGAGCGTCTGGTTCTCTCAGGCCTTCCTGGAGGGGCCTGGCCAATTTCAAGGCTGAGAGCTGTGCTCAGGAAAGGTCCAGGCCTTGTGTCCAGGACAGGGGTGCGCAATGTGTGGACTGTCTTGGGTCCCAGCTCATCTTGCCGGAGGCAGCAGGAGCCATGGGAGGACCTCCCATCTCACCCGGGCTCCACGCAGCAGGGCAGGCAGAGTAGTCAGAGGCTCTGCTCTGCATAGATAGGAGGGGACAGAAGGCCAGAGGAGGGCTGCAGAGGAGGCCGTGGTTTGTGACAGACGTGCAGATGAGATAGTTGGTGGTGATGCTCCTCAGGGTGCGGGGTAGAGCTGACGCTTCTGCTGTGGGCTGGGAGGTGACCCACAGCCTCCAGGAGCTACGAGCTCAGGTTAGGGCATGCTGCGCTGGAGGCACTGGGCCGAGATGCGATGTCCAGTCCGTGTTTGGAGTCGCGGATGTGGCATGTGGGTGAAAGACCTGCAGGAAGCGGGGAGGGGTTGTGTGCGGTGAGCCTGGGTGAGGTTTCCAGGCAGTGGCTATGGAGCAAGAGACACTGTGGAATGGGCGCCTGCATGGCAGGATGTGTGGAGGAAGAGGGGCTGGTGCAGAGAGACCTGGGAGAGCCTGCAGGATGGCCAGAGGGCAGAGGGCAGGGCAGGTGGCCCGAGTTGAGGAGGAGGCAGCACCTCGTGTGTGTGGTCAGCAGGGGCTGTGGAGCCCCAGGCTGAGGTATGTGGGGTGCAGGAGGGTGGGTGGCCTCAGGGAAGTAGAGGGGCGGGATACAGAGCTCTGTGAGCCAAAGGAGAGTGGAGAGGACTCTGCAGCACCTGGAGGGCACAGTAGGCAACCATAGAGAGAGACAGGGACAGCAGGGGACAGCAGACGCATGGGGGCTGGGAGGAGCATGGGGTGCCGTGGGTGCTGGCAGTGTTGGTGGGACTTGCACTGGCAGGTGGCTGAGCTGCCTGGGTGGGAAGCCTGGCAGGGGGACCGAGTCTCAGGATGGGGTCTGCAGGCCTAGGGGCTGGAAACAGCAGGCTGCCCAGATGTGCCGCTGAGATGCGGCTCAGGAATCTGAGCAGAACCTTCTCCAGCTGCACAGGGCGAGCTGCATGCGGGATGCGACCTCCTCCTGAGGCCACCTGATCTCGCGGGGCTCAAAGCCTTGAGCTTCTAAGAGGGTCTACAGCAAGTGGCTTCCTGGACAGTGAATGGGGACTTCCAAGGCAGCCCCCATGGCCCTATCACCTGGGGGGTGGGAGTGGGGAAGGGAAGGGACAAGAAGGGGATCCACTCAGAGTGAACATCGGGACTCTAGCTGGGGACGACTCCCTTTGTCAGGGCAGGGAGGCAGGGCTTGAGCCAGGGCATCCCTCTCAGAGCTGTGGGGACAGCTGTGGAGTCAGCAGTGATGCAGAGGAGAGCAGGACACCCGAGGACTCTTGTCCCTCTCAGTCACTGAGAGGCTGGATCAGACTTCTCCTGAAGGCCTGTGAACCTGTGGCCTCTCCACTGAGGTGAGAACGTGCTCCTGTCGCTAATGTCCGTTTGAGCTGGATTTCCTGTGTTTACGACCCAAAAGTTCTAACTGACAGCGTGCTCAAAACGTTCACCGAAGACATCACACCGCTGTTTGCTAGAAATGGTCACGCTTGCAGAATTCTGTGAGGGAGAGTGAATAACCCACGTGCAAATAGTGACCTTTACAACGACCCTGAGGAAAAGAGAAATTGCTGCCAGGTGGAACATTCTGGAAATGCAGGTGGGGGTCACCCTCACACCTGCCCAGGCTTGGGGAAAGCCACTGGACATCTTGTTCCCACAGCTGGAAGCAGAAAACATGAAGAGATGGTTTTCTGATTTGACGAAACACAGCACAGCAAAACAGCAATCGAATCGACAACAAATACCCCGTTTTTTCCTCCATTTTTCCATCTATAAGGAAGGGATCATGGAAAATAAATGCAACCCGCAGGGCTCCTGGGGAAGGCAAATGGGGTCATCAACGAGCTTCACTGGGCGACCCAGATGTTGACTGTCCTTGCGGGGCACTTTGTTGAGGGGCAACCCTTGAGATGTCCAGAGACGAGAAGGTCCAGACAGTGGGGAGCCCAGTCCAGCCTCCGCTCCCCGGACTGGGACGCCTCAGCTCAGGTTCTGCAGCTCAGGCCGCTGGACTGACAGGCGAGGGCTCTCGTTTCTGACGGACACTGAAAACAAGGCCCCGAAGCCTGAGCCTGTGTTCTTCCTGTGTGACGGGTGACATTCCCACGGTGACACCCGTACCTCTTTCGGGAGAGATGGGACACACGGCTCTGGACACGGCGCCCACGTGCTGGTCTAGAAACTCACGTCTGCCTGTGTCCAGATCAGAGGACGCACCCTCCTTCCAGCAGCGGCGGGGTCGCGTGTGACTTGGCACACACAGGATTGCTTTTGCTCGTTCGCGTTTTTATTTTTTTTAAACAGACTCTACGAAGCAGTAAGTCACTCCTTTATCTCTCAGTCTCACTTCTCTAAAACTTGTGGCTTCTCTAGTTTTGTCCACATTTTGAAAACACGTCACTTTGATGCCAAGATGAACAAATGTGGTTCTTTATCATGTTGGAATTGACCCAATGATTCACAGATTAAAAAAAAAAAAAAGCAAAACGATCAAGTTGGGAAAAGTTGCACATTCTGTTTGTTGGACGGTTCTGCTGACCCCGCAGACCCGCTTCCTCCCACTGTCCATTTTGGAGAGTTCTAAAAATTAATAAAAAACAAACCCAGAGCTCCTGCCTTCATTTTTATGTCCTTTGTGCTGACAGTGTTTCCCTGCCCCCGGCTCCTCTGTGTAAACAGCCCTATCTCTGCACGGCCGTCCCTGTCCCTCCCCCTCGGCTGATTGGAGCAGGGGATGCTGGACCCAATGGCAGCCAACCGGGAAGCTGCCAAGGGCCGTGGCATGGGTGTCCTGGATCAAAAAGATGAGCTGGGCCAGGCAGAGTCCTCTCAGGGATTGGGAAACACAGAGCTGATCTCATGGGCTGTGGGGGCTGAAGCCAGAAGGATGCGGGTCTGGAGTCAGCGCAGGGGTGGGGGAGGCAGCAGCACGTGAGCCTGAGCAAGCGGGAGAGGAAGGAACAGCACACGGGAGGAGACGGAGACAGACAGGGCCACCGGCACACGAGCCACGCAGGGAAGCGGAGGTGACCACACCGCCCAGCGGCAGGTGGAGAGAGGGGTCACCCAACCCCAGATGGCCTCTCCTAGAACATTCGCTCCACAGTGTGCAGCTTTCAGACATCTTTTAGGGCCTCTGTTACATCCTCTTGACCCACCTCTGTGCTCCAGTTACTACTGAGGGATGAGCTGTGTGCAGCTGTGTCCTGGCCGTACTTCATTTGGGCATCAGATACTTACTCATTCTCTGTCCAGGGCCTCCTGGACACATGTCATTGGACATCACATCCATTCTGTGACATGCCCATGAGTGATAGTTCAAGGGGTTTAAATATCCTGGGACATCTCTTGACCTGTGGGACAGGAGCAGAAAGATACATTTCCCTCTTGTGTGTCCTAGAGAAAGGGGTGATTCTGAGCTGATCCTCCATGGCTGCTCAGAGGGTCCTCAGCATGTCTGAGCCCCCACTGCCCACCATGGTGACCAGGCTGGTGATGCACCCTTGGATCAGCTTTCCTTCCTTGCCTCTTTCATTTGCCCAGTCCCCCTAGTCCTTTGTTCCCT